AAAGGTCTCTAGAGACTGTGCCTGTATTCTCACGTGGAGGCTCCGAGTGGTTGCTCTTCCAAGACCTGCCTGCTCTTTTCTTTCCTGAAACATATTGTCTCCCCCGCCCCGCCGGGCCCGGCCCCAGGCCCCAGGGCGGAATGTAACATCTTGTAATGTGGCAATCACTGCCAAACCCGTCCCTGCGAGGGGAACTCCCGCCGGGGGGGCCTCGGAGCGACGTGGGGCCTCCGCATCCGCCCCGGCCGGGGTTTAAGGGGGGAAGGGGCGGGGCAGCAGGAAAGGCGTGCGGGGCAGATCCCAGGTGGGGAGGGAGGTCCCGGCCGGGAGAGGCTTCTCTGGGGCTGTTTTGGGCGTCACGACCTTGCCAGAGCCCTCCAGTCTCGGGAAAGCCTTGGTCGGACAGGGCCAGGGGCCCGCGTAACCGGGACTGCAGGATCGCGCCCCACTCACCGGCTTCTGGGGACCCCAGAAATCAAATGCAAGGGGACCTGTATTTTAGGAGGAAGAGAGGATCTGTAGCTTCATTCTCAAGGAGATCTCTGACCCTAAACAGGTTTATGGCACTGGTGGTCGCTGGTCCCTCTCGGGAAAGGAGCCGGCTTTTGACTTTTGAGCGAGTGCTTGGGACGGGGACAGCGGGGTGGGCTGTGTGGGTGTGCGGAGTTGCTTCTGGGTTTTACCGCCAGTGAGGACAACTTTTTTTCTTTTTTGAAAGGCAAGGAGGCTCTCTGACCCCTGACGTCTTTCTTCCCGGGGGCTTGTAACACTGGAGGGGACCATTCCACCACTTCTCTTCTCCCTTCACCCCCTCTTTCTCTCATCCCCCACCTTCTACCGCTGAACTGTTTGTAAACAAAGCTCCAGGTTTCCAGCGCACTCTCCGCGCCCAGCAAACCTGATACTTCCCCCAAACTCGCCCCACCAGTCTCGGAAATTCTTACACGGGACGGATATTCACAATTTTCACAAGTAATCCTGAAAGAAGGCCGAGGGGAAGCCTCCTAAACGGTCCCACATTGCAGCCTCACTGATTAGGCCCGGCATCCGTTCTCTTTCTTCTCTGCTCTCCCCAGCCCGGGAGCCACAGGGCGGGCGGCGGGGATTCGGTGCCGCAGGAGGGGGGTGTGTCTACGCGTAGCGGAGCGCCCGGGTCTGGGGGCCCGCAGCCCGGCGCGCGCTGGGGGAGGGGAGCCAGGAATGAGAGGAGAAGGGGGTGCTGGCGCGCCCGGGCTGCCTGCCTCGGGGACTGGAACTCCATACCCGCGCTCTGCCAGAGTTGCGAGCAACCCTGCCAGGAGGTGGGGCGGAGAGGGCCGGGCACCCCTCACTCTTCGGCTTCCCTCCCCCTGCTTCCCAGCGCTTGTCATATCCTGTCTCTGGCCTGATATTTCACGCGAGCAAGTGGAAGGGGATTACAATGAAGATTTATGTGTGTTCCGAGCGCGCCTGGTTTCCCAGTGTAGGGAGCCGAGATCGCTGCTTCCCATTTCCATTTTTCATTCGCGCTTTGGGTAGCGCAGCCCCGCGCGGGGGGAGCGTGTCTGCGCGGCGGCGGGCTGATCACAGGGCTCCGCGTCTCCCGGCGGGCCGTGAGACTGTGAGAAAGACTTGCCAGCTCGTTGCCCCCGGCGGGGCTGGAGCCGGCCCCTGCCTCCCCCAGCCGGGCTTTGTTTGTCCCCTCGCTTACCCCTCCCCCTCCCCGCCCCCCTCACTTCTGGGACCTGGGCGCATCCTAGCTTTCCCTTCTCTTTGCCCTTCTCCTCGTCTGCGGAAACGCCCCCTTCCTCTGGCCCCTGCACCCTCCTGCTCTCTGCTTAGCGGGCTTCCCGGGGAAAGACGCGCCGTGGCCTGGCGCGACCCCGCCGCTGCCGGGTGCCAGGTTCGGTGACTCCAGCGAGTCTGTGGGGCCTCGGCCCACCCCGGAGCTGAGGCCGCCCGCCCTCCTGGCTCCCAGGCTCGCTCATGCCAAGGCCTGTTGCGTGATTCCAACTTGGGCTGACATTCCCTGCCCCGGGCGCTCCGGCGTAGGCCTCTTAATCATCTTGTCTGCTGCAGATCCTCGACACCAGCCAATTTACTGCCCCGTCTCTCCTCGCTGGTTTCAGGAGGGGGAAGGGAGTGCGCGCAAAGGGGGGGGGGGGGGGGGGGGGGGAGGGGCCCGGGGAAGCCCCGCACGGGCCCGCCGGCACAGACAACCGCAGGAGGAAGGCTGGCACCGGCTACTGGCACTCAAAAGAAAACCATGGAATTTGGAACTGGGGGGAGAGAGAGCAGGCATGGGGGTCTTCTAGGCAGCGGCTGCTTAGGGAAGCTAGAATCACAGGGTCAGTGAGCTCTCAGCTCAGGTCTTCCTAGCCTGAGAAAACAATGCAGGAATGAAAACGGACAGTGGATTGTGTAGCCTCTCTGTGTTTCCCAGAGCCCCCCACTCCCTGTCCGTATTCGGTTGTAAGCTAGACTCCATGCAGACCCCAAAACAATCTGGCCGGAAAAGACAAGATTCCTTTCAGGATGATGCCACCGAGCCTAGAAAGTCGCCCCCCCCCCCCGTCTTATGTCTGTGTTTTTTGGCAGAGTGGAGTTGAAGACACACAAGGATTGCCTGAATAGCCATCCCAGAGAAGAGGAGGCCTGGATCTGGCAAGCAGAGCTCTCTGGTCCGTCTGTAATCTCCTCTCCAGTAGAGGCAGGTCTCTTCAGAGGGGATGGCTGAGGTTCAGGCTCTCATGTAAGAAGGGGCCAGAGCTTCCCCAGCTCTAGAGTGTTGCTCTAACACACAGGGTGAAGTTGGAAAGGCCTCTGGGTATCTCTGGGCCTCAAAAACACAGGCACAAGTGAAGCCTCCCTGTTTTGGGAGACATTGGAATAAAACAATATACTACCAACAGCAAAAATGGGTACTTACCATGTGCCAGGCACTGTGTTACATCATCGTCTCATTATATACTCACAGAAACTCTGAGATAGTTGTTGTTATTTCTCCTATCGTATAGATCTGCACACTGAGGCACAGAGAGGTTACACTGAGTAGCCCAAAGTGGCAAAGTCAGTGATGGAAACTAAGAAGCTTCCCTTGTAGGCCCCAGTGCTTTGAAGGAAAGGGGCTTTTAGTTCAGGCCTGCATTAGCCCCCTAACCCCTGGCCTTTGCAGAGAATGTCAGAAAGTAGGGTCACTTCCAAAACTGGAAGTCAGTTGGGGTGGGATCCAAGGTGGAAGGCAGAGCTGAATGGTGTGACGACCTTTCCCCTCAGAGAAGGTGAAGTGGAAGGATGCCGCCTGCATCAGTGTCTGCGTGAATGTGCATGTGTGCACGTGTGGGTATGTAGGTTTCTGTATCAGTGTGTGTGAATGTGTGTGCATGAATTTTTGTCAGTGTGTATGTGTGTGTGTGAGACTCAGTAGGAATGTGTGTACTTGAGAGTGAGAGTATGTCAGTAGAGATGTGACTGTGAGAGTCACAGTGCGTGATTGTATGTGTGCTAGCGCAGCCCTGTGTGCCGGGGTCGCCCTGCATTCCAGAGCAGCCAACCGAGTTTCCCGAGGGCCGGGGTGACTCACTGAGCTCTCGGCTCAGCCAGCCCCAGAAGGGCCTCAGGGCAGACAGAGGGGAGGGTCCAAGGTAGGGGTCTGACCCCGGTTTCGGCAGCGCTCCGGCGGCGACTGCAGGTCCCCCGTGGCGGCTCCGATGCACCGCCTGGCCAGCACTACTGGCGCGGGGGCGGCAGAGACCGCCCAGGCTCGGGGCGGCGGCGCCGGCACCGGAGGGGCCCGGCGGGCGTAGGCTGCAGCCGCCCCGGCTCGGAGTGAGTCACCGCGCCAAGAGCTGGCGAACCCAGCGCCGAGACTCGGGTGCCGGCAGAGCGTGAACGTTTCAGGGAGGCCGGCGTGGAGCGCGCCTGTTCCCGCCTCGCCGCGCCCCACGGCTCTCTCGGCCTCTGAGAGATGTGAATGTCACTCGTGGCTGGCCAGGTTCCCCGCCCGGGGAAGCGGCTCGAGGTTCCAGGTCACTACGCCAAGGAACAAGCGCACACATCCAATGAAAACAATAATTTATTTAAATAATCTCTTCATATTGTAAAATCAACATTAAGAGCATGTTGTTTTCATAATAAATAACCCCAAAATACCTTTCATTTCAAGAACAAAGACTTTAGGATAAGATAAAACAAAACCAAATCAGTAGCTTAGTTCAACTGAGAAAATTTTCAAAGGGAAAAATAAAATGGAGGGGTTGCTGAGGTTACTGCTAAACCGCAGTTTTCACAAGTGGGCGTTTACAAAAAGTCCGAAAAGACGAGTATTTTTATACAAATAAATCAGTGGGAAAATCTGCACAGACACCTTTATTTACAAACTCTATGTCGAAGTCCACCCTAATAATCCTGAATAGGTTTTAAAAAAGATAATTTAAACACATTTTTTTTTGCAGTGTCCACATATTAAAAAATCATTTTTTTCCCCAACATCAAAATGAGGTCATCCGCAAAGGCACCTAAACTTTTAAAAAAATAAAAATAAAAAAACTCCACTGGTGATGGATGAGGAGAGGGCTAAGGAAGCGTTCCTGGGGGAGAGCTATGGCGGGGCGGAGGGGGGCTCGGAGGGCTGGAGACGGCAGGGCAGAAAAAAAGCGGCGGGCCGCCCGGGTCACGGGGGCGGGTGGGGGAGGGCGCGCCGGCCCGGGAGGTCAGGCAGCCCGGCCGACTGGAGCTGGGCCTGGGGGCGGGCAGGGAGAAAGGAGCCTCAGAGCACCCTGGAAACCTCGCGGGCGGGGGAGGCGTCCCTCTCGGACTCAGCTCGTGGCCCGCGGCGAGGAAGGCGCCCGACCGCCTGGCTGGGCGGGGAGGGGTGGGGAGGCAAGTCTGAGGCGGGGCTCAGGTCGGAAAGGAGGCCGCGGCGGGCTGCCCTGCCCGGGGGCCTCGGAGAAGAGCCTTCCAGGTCCCGGCCGCTCTGTGGCCGCGCGAGGGAGCAGGGCCCGTGGGAGGCCATCTCGGTCGCTCCTCCCGGAGGGGTGGGAGGCATCCGCGGGCCAGTCGGAGGGACCCTCTGGCTCTTGGAGCGAGCACGGAGGATCACCGGTCTCTGCTCTCTCAGTCTCTGGCGCGGTCTCCCTGGGGTTAGAAAATCGTCCCGGCGCTCACCGGGGCGCCCCCGCCGCCGCCGTGGTGGTGGTGGTGGTGATGGTGGTGGTGGTGCGGCTGCGGGGTCTGCGTTGGGTGCAGCAGCGGCGCGGCGGCCTGCAGGTGTGAGGTGGGGCCCGAGGCCTGGTGGTACCACGGGTAGTTGCCCAGGAAAGCCGAGGCCGCGCTGCTCGGGCTGGAGCCCGAGCTGCCCGCGCCGCTGCCGCCGCTGTTTGGGCCGCCGCCGCTCCCCATCCGTTGTGGCGCGCTGAAGTCCCAGGAGGCCGGCGCCGACACCGGCGGCGACGCACAAGGTGGCGAGCTGCTGGCCCCAGGGTGCTGCTCCGAGGGGATCTCGCCGCTTTTCCACATCTTCTTGAACTTGGACCGGCGGTTCTGGAACCAGATTTTGACCTTTGTGGAAAACGGACCCGAGCGTTAGTGGAAGAACCTGGGTCTGGGGCAGGGGTGGGGGGGGGGGGGGGGGGAGGAGGCGTAGAAATCACAGCCGGGCAGGTAAGCGGATCACGTGCCGCGGCCTCGGAGACTCGGGATGGCTCCTGCTCCATTAGGAGGTAATCTCCGAAAGTCCGAGGCAGCTGGATTGTGCGTGCCGCGGGGATGGTGACAGCGGGAAGGGGTCAGGAGGGCCAATTATTTTACCCGTTTAATCAGTATCGCGCGGAAAGAAGACGTGGAAGCGGATTTCTGCCCACCCCAGGCCTTTCCTTTTCTCAGGCGCGGCGGCCCCTTGGGGGATTTCAGCTCCAGGCGTAGAAATTTAGGCCGCCCAAGGCGCGGGCCTCGAAATCCTTAAAGTTACTTTAAACGTACTTTTTAAAACGTTGTCCGGACCCCTCCTGCTTCCCAGCCACCCCAGGCCAGCGCCCTCCTCGTTCCCCGCCAGACCGGGAGCCCTCACCTGAGTCTGGGTGAGGCCCAGGGACGCCGCCAGCTCCGCTCGCTCGGGGAGGGCGAGGTATTGAGTCTTTTGGAAACGTCTCTGAAGAGCCGCCAGCTGGAAACTGGAGTAGATGGTACGGGGTTTCCGGACTTTCTTTGGCTTCCCATTCACGATCCGGATTTCAGGCTCGAGGTCCTCTTTCTCTGCAACGCAACGCCATCGTGAGAACAGTGCAGCGGGGGGACCCAAACAGTTCCCGCTGGGCTTAAGGGCCGGCCGTGGCACTTGGCCTGCGCCCGGAGGCGAGTTGTTGGAGACGCTGCGGGGCGCCCAGGCGCAACTTCGCTAAGTGCGGACTCCGGCCGCCAGACACCCGGGAGCTGGACCCTCCCGGAAGGGGAAGAAGGAGCAAACCCGAGAGAAAGAAGGAGCAGGTGGTAAGGAAATGAGGTTACCGCGAGGCATGCACCCGGCGCCCTTTCGGCCCCCGAGTCTCACCAGCTGAGCGCCGAGGGACGTACGCGGTGACCCTCGGCAGACTGGTGGTTGAGGAGGGTAAAAAGGCTCAAGGAGGGCAGGGAGCAGGCAGTGTAAGCGTCCGGGTTCCGGATGGATCCCCGTCCCCAACATTTTTATCCCACCCATCCCAGTAACTAGGCTGACTTGGCACCTTTGACGCCAGCGTTGTGCTTACCAGGTTCGTTGTTGGCCGGGGAAGAACTGGTCCCGTAGGGTGCGTAGGAGGTGTAGGCGGCGGTGTAGCCCAGGTCGTAGCCGCTCTTAGCGGAATAAGGGACGTTGTTGAGGCCGCCGGCGTGGTACTGGTAGGAACCCATGTGCGCGTAGGGCGAGCCCCCACTTCCGCCGCCGCCCGCCGGGTGCTGCTGGTTGGTGTAGTAGCTGCTGTCGGTAGCTGTGGACACCGGGAGTGTGGGCGACTCCTGGGGCTTGTGGAGGCTGCTGCCGTTGCTGCCGCCGGGGCCAGCGCCGCCGCCGCTTGGGGGCTGCTGGTGCTGGTGGTACGTGCTGGAGGCCGTGATCTGGGTCGAGTGCATATCAGCCACCAGACTGTCAAAGACTCCAGTCATCCTGGCCCGGGATGGGAAAGAGCAGGGGTGGCGGGCGCGAGGGGGGAAGCGAGGCGCCTCCTCTGTCTCTCCCTGTCCCCTCCAGCAGCCAATGTAATTACGGGGGGTGAGGGAGGGTGGGGAGGAAAACAAGAAATGTGGCAACGGTCTAGGCAACTCCTCCTCTAGGGGAGGCGATCACCGTGCACTGCTCGGGACAGCTGCCGCCGGCCGCATCCTCTCTCCGCCTCTCTGCCCGCTCGGCTTCTTGCCCAGCGCCCGCTCGGGCGGGGGGCGGGCGGCGGAGGGGGCAGGGGTGGCGGGGCCAGGCCGGGGCTCCGGGAGGCGGGAGCAGGTGAGGAGCCCAGAGCGGCTTTACGATTGTCTGCGGGGCGGGTTCCGGCAGCGTGGGCATTTAACACTCGTCACGTGAGCGCAGGCGACGTCACCTAGCAACAGCCAATCGGAAGCGCCGGGCCGCGGGGTTCCTGGCGCTCTGGAATGCCCGGAGGGGGGCGGGGGGGGGGAGGCTGGTGTCACAGGGCGGGCGCTGCGGCTGCTGTGGTTGCGGGTGCAGACAGGCGGCTGCTGAATGCGAGCAGCGAAGCGAGGGACTGGGGAAGGGGCGCGGTGGGGAGTCAGGGTGGCCAGCAGCAGGAGGACAGAAGGCGTGAAGGCGGAGACTGGCATTACTTCTCAAAGGAAGAAGACTTGGGGTCTCCCATCCCATTCTGTGTACAAGTGCCAGCCAGTTGCAGCGATTCGGCTCTTCCTGTCCGAGGTCAGCTTGCAAACATGAATCAAAATAAAGCGGTACCGCGAGCCCGGCCAGGTCGAGCTCCGCTTTTCCTCGAAGCGTCTGGCAGTCACTCTTGTCAGTCACTCGGCACTTGATAAAGTCAATTGATTTAAATGATCCATAAACCACGTATTATAATACCTACTTCCACATGCCTGCTTAACCAGCCCACAGCGATATTAGGCAATTAATTAATGTTTAAACGATTTTTCCTTGTTGCTTGAGAGAAAATCACTTTTCAATAACTTTTCTGAATAAATTCAAAAGTATTATTTCTAATGATATATCTGAAACCATTTTTTTTTTCCTTGTGCTTTCCTGACAGGCCAAGACTTTGAGTAATTTTGTATATTAGATGGCTAACTGACAGGCGAAAAGCGATCCCGGGGATTTCCTCTCTTGGTTGGAATGCTAGACCATAAAGACCAGATGGCTTTCAAAGTTCGTTCTAATTCTAAATGCTATATTTTTACGAAAACAGAAGTGGGATAATAGGTGAGAGAGTCGTCTCGATACTACAAGTCTTGGTAAACTTACAGAAACAAGTAGAAAAAGTTTTATTTCATGCACTTAACCCTATTTTAGTTTTTGCGCCCTGTCATTGCAATTTCTTCGTTTAAATCAGCACTGGCGACTTCGTCCATATCAGTATTTCCTAGTGGTTGGGGACAGTGGCCCGGAGTTGAGGGACACTCGCCTTTACTGGACTCCCCAAGTTCGCAATTTCGGCGGCAGTGCTTGCCTTGTGGCGCCACCTGCTGGAGGTGTGCGTAGTTGCAGCGGGCCCAGTAGACGGTCTAATCATGCTGAGGCGCCAGCCTCTGAAACCCCCCAAAAGAACAAAATAGTAATTAAAAAGCCACAAAATTGTACAAGTGCGAGCCATCTGAAGCACCCTTTCCTAAAGACCTAACATGTCGCCGAAAGAACTTGTTTCAACAACTGCCTAATGGAAAACAAGTTGATACTTTGAAAAATACGATCTTGGTCTTCTTCCCCAGAAAAAGCAAGTGTGTAATTAAAACTTCAGCATCCACACAGCTCACTCGCTGCAGAATAACGAGGAAGGTAATCTGCCCTCAAATCTGCCTGGATTTAGTTCCCAGCCTTCCTTTTGGTGAAGGAAGGCTCCTTGATGGAGGCTAGTGAACTAGTTAGAAATGCTTTGGGAGGTGGGGCTCACCACCAAGGGACTGCATTGCTTCACTGCTGTGCTCAGCTTCTGCTTTGTGGGCCTCAGTTACAAAACTAACCTCTAGACATTTAATCAGTATTACCTTTTGGTGTCTTGACTCCAAATTCCAAGTCTTTCTGTCACCACCAAAGTAGTGGTAGCTGGGCCTAATATAGAAATCCACCCCCCCTCCCCCACCAATGAAATATAAAAGAGCCAATTGCTGTAGCTTTGCTTTCTCTCTGCTCCTTTGTTCCCACTCCAAGCATGTCCTCCAGGCTTTTTCATGGTGGCAAGTTTGTTGTATTTTGTTACCTATGAGGACCTCCATTAATAGCCTAAAGGCTAGGTCAGCTGAGATCTGGAAAATGGCATCTTCCTGGAAGGAAATATGATTCCAGTTTCCTTTTAACTGGAAAACAAAGGACTGTGTGTGTATGTATGTATGTGTGTGTGTGTGTGTGTGTGTGCGCGTGAAGTAGAAAAGACCAGATGCAATGAGCAAGGAGAGTCAGCAAGAGTGCGAGAGCCAGAGAGGAAGAACTTACCACTGCATTTGGAGAATCAAGTAAACATTTGAAATATTAATTCTGATACTCCAGATACAAATCTGGGTTTGCCCAAATGCTCTGATCACCTTAGCGCAATATCCAAATGATTTCCTCACTTTGGTCTGAAGTCCGGGAGACAGTACCTAGAGAACTGATGCACTCATCCACAGTTCAGAGCGGAGTGATACCCCTCTCCACAGATTGAGTTTAGGGGAACACCTCTGAGTGGCCAAACTTCCTCCTCTGCCTCAGGGCACTCTCCATCACACTTTTCTGCTTCCAGTTTTCTTGATCCTTTCTTGATCCACAGGGGCATTCTTTTACTCTGCAAGGACCTGGAAAAGAATGGGGGGGATGTAGGGAGGTGGCCTTGTATGTCCTAATCCCATCACTAAGACATTTCCACTTTGAATCCCACACCCAACAGGTTGTTTGATGCAGCACTTGGTCTGATCACGGAATCCCACTGTGTTCTCCCAGAAAACTTTGCCAGAGGTGGATGGAATCATCATTCCCATTGTACAGAGGAAACTGAGGCTTGAGGGCAGAAGTCACATACTTTGAGTCAGGTACCCCTCCTTTCTCTGTTGCCATAGTGCAAATCACAGGGTAGTACTCTAAGCCTTGGCTGAACAGCTGGAGAAGAGGTCTGGGGCATCTACCTGGCCTGGGCTTCCCTGACCCTGTGTACTCCTCTGCTCCACCACTGGGCGTCCTCAATTACACCGAGCAGAGGGAGGGGTCGGGGGTCGGGTCAGGGTGGGGGCGGAGAGGATGCCCCCTGCCGGCAGGGAGCGCGGGGTGGGGGTCTGGGTGCCTTTTGTGCTCAGAGGGATGGGCTCATTCTCACTGGGCTATTCTCCTGGAGGGTCACACCCGCGCTGTTGCTGGACTGCCCCTTGTCCTGGGGACACGGCTTCCTTCATTGGTCCTAGAGGCATTCTTTCCTTTTTCATCCCCGAAGTAGTTCTAGGAATCTGAGCTTTTGAATCTTTTAGGCTCCTTCTAGAACTCAAAGACGTTGGGAGAAGTTGGGAGTCTATGGGAGCCTCCCATCCCCACCTTTCCAGGACCATACCTGCCTGCTCTCCTCCTCCGGCCTCCGTTGGTCATTAAGTCTTCTTGGGGACAAGCCTTGTCCAATCCTTTCGCATTGCTAATGTCCTCAACGTGCTTCCCCCTCAACCCCCCCCCCCCCATCACTAACGGAGCTTACAGGGATTCCGGGTGCGGTCAGTTCCTCCCAGCCCCTTTGGTCCTCAAGTAGATGGGATCTCTGAATCTGGGATCTGCGAACTTAGACCCCACTTTTTTTTTTCTTGCGTAAACTTGGCAAGAGGGCATAATGGAAACATACCCATTGCTGGTGTGGGGACCTCTAGAAAACCCTTAGGAAACACACAGCAGAATCATCACTCGAACTGAGGTCTGAGCCACAGAGGCAAGGCCAATGCTCCTTTGAGCTGGTTTTGGCCTGGGAAGCATGGGAGAAGGCCGAACTACCCCCACCTTTCGCGGGTTCTGAACACAAGCTCACCCCTCCAGCCCCAAGAGCAGACTGGAAGGAGAGATTTCTCCCGGAGACTAGCAGGCGCGCGGGCACTGAGTGGGAGGCATCCCCAGACCCACCCTAGGAAGATCCCGGAACACATTCGGGGGTCAACAGCGAGGGCTGGAGGCAGGCGGCCCCTGGCCCCGCACGCGAACCGGAGACCCTGCAGTGTCCGCCTTTGGGATTACCTTTTGCTATCTGCTAGTGAGCAAACCAAAAGGACTTGAATGGGAATAAGCGGATACACAGCCATGACCTTTCCGAGGGAAGCCGTAGCGCTGAATTGTTAGTTCAGCATGCTTCTAGAATTTTCAAACCCAGTTTCGCCTTCTGCCTTCTAGGTCTTCCAGACATTCCCACCCCCTCACTCAGGCCCATTTTGCGTTATAGACTGCCCAATGGTTAAAAAGAAACACAAGCTATGGTTCCTGGCACCCAGCCTGGGTCGAGGCTCTGAGGCGCTAATCCGATGGCCTCTTCGTTGAGTCCGAATTCACAGGCCGGGTTACTAAGAGCTCAGGCGGGCAAGCCGCAATGGGCGAGAGAAACACATACTCCTTCGATTGCTAAAAGCTGCCAGGTCTCGGTGTCCAGGTCCTCAGCTCCACGAACGCCGATGGAATATGTTATAGCCTCCACCCCACCCCAGGACAAAAACTCAGACCGCTGGGACGCGCACTTTGCACTAGGAGCAGGTCTCACATTGCTTAACGATGGAGAGGTATGCAAATGGCTCACGGGAGGTCCTTACTCAAACCTGAACGAAAACAACCCCCGACATTCCCCGCCCCTGCTCCCGGCCTTGGCCTCAGCCTCGGGCACTAGTTGCACCCGCCAACGCCGCAGGGAACATTCGGGCGCCTTGCCGGCCGAGGTGCAGGGCGCTCCGGGACCTCCGTGAGGGCCGGGAGGGGAGCGCCGCCTTTCGTTCCGGAACCTCCTGTCCTCCGCGGGTGGCTCCGGGCTGTCAGGTTGAAACCGCACCTCCTCCCAGAACAGCAGCAGATGAAACCCTGCTCATCACCTGGGGCTCACAGCGCTGGCTTGTCAGTTACGGCATGCTTCTGGAACTTTCACAATTTTGCCTTCTGCCTTCCAGGTCTTAGATCCTAGTCCAGTCCCTTTTACTTTGTCTATTCAGTGGTTAAAACGTGCGCGCGCGCGCACACACACCACCAAACGGGCAGAACGAGGAATGAACTGTTTGAAACTCCAAGTATCCTTCTGAGTACGAGGATTCCTTTCTCCCCTCTCCCTTCCCCG